GGGGGGGGGGGGGGGGGGGGAAGACGGTAAGTGAGGACGATCATCAACATTTTGCAAGATGTACAAGACCTTAATGTCACACTGGATACATTGCGCACTCAAGAGATCGCAAGACCACAACCCATCAACCTTTTTTGAAGTTTTTTCTGCCTATCACTGCTTGCTAAATTTCACATAAGTTTCCATAAAAAGAAAAGAAAAAGAAAAATGTTCAAAAATCGCAGATACGATGCAACTTGTGTAGTTTTGCACGGGGGCAACAGTTGCCGCCCGTTCTACTCTGGGGGGCAACAGTGCAATCAGTTGCTTATCACCGGCAAACATGTTTGTACATCCAAGAGAAAGGGGGGAGAATACGAGAGAAAGAGTCAGGCTATCCCTTAGTTGCCGCCCTGGCCACCGACAAGATATTTCGCACGGACGGAACCTTGGCGCGGTTCTAGAGGTAAGACCACGGCCCGGGCAGGCATTTGGGACTGTACCTGGCACTCAATATGAGCCAGATGCAGACGCAGAAGGGCAAAAAAAAACACCTTCCCAATCCACCACCAAAAAAGGAAAAAAAACGCCTTCAAAGTTCATACCTTTCTCCTTTTTTTTTTTTTTTTTTTTTTTTTTTATTTTTTTAATTTTTTATGCATATTATATATAATTTTTTTTTCGACTTCCCGATTTTCTTTTTTTTTTTTTTTTTTTTTTTTTTTTTTTTTTTTTTTTTTTTTTTTTTTTTACTTTTCTCAATTTTCATGCAGAGGGAGAAATTAAATTTTAAATTCCCTTAGACCTCATTATGCCACAATAAAATGACCCCTCCCTCGTCAGAAGCAGTCGCAATTCATTCTTGCTTTCTTCGGTGACTTGGATGGGGTGTGGCTGTGTTGTCATGTTCACTATTCACAACTCCACACACAAAACAAAACAAAACAAAAAAAAATAATAATAAAAAATGTACAACTGTGCCACTGCCACTGTTTCATCCGACTTGCACTGACTCGTTAGGTGATTGAACCTGCACAGTCTGTCCGCCCAGGATGCATTTGACTGATGGATCAGTACTCACTACGTCGCCCAGAGTTAGCGATGATACCCTTGAGAGAGAAACGTGGTTGACTTTACTTTATGCATACCAACCCTCCTAGCAGGCTGTCAGTGGACCGACTCGTTAGGTGATTAAACCTGGACAGTCTGTCCGCCCAGGAGGCATTTGACTGACGGATAAGTACTCACTACGTCGCCCAGAGTTAGCGATGACACCCTGGAGAGAAAAACGTGGTCGCCTTTACTTTATGCACACACCAACCCTGCAATCCTAGCAGGCTGTCAGTCCAAACCTCTGACAAGAATGGCAGAGAGCGGGAGTGCCTACCGTCTTCAACCAAATAGAACGCACGTTCATTATAGCTGTATCTGGTGCAGTTTTCAGTCCAGATACAGCGATAATGACCGTGCGTTCTATTCGGGTGAAGACGGGGTAGTCTGTCACAGCCATAATACCCAACATACACACCCACTGAGGCATGGATAGTAGGATACCCAATGGACGGAGTGCTAGCACGGTCCCGACCCTATCCCCGCATGAATCTGCCCGAAAAAACAGAGAGCAGAGAGCTTTGCAAGGCCAGGTTGTGTGTTGTTATGTCCGCGTGTGTGCTTTTAAATTTCTCCACAACAGCCCCTAATGCACCCAGATGCGTAGAACCGAAATCGAGGCAGCTTCAGTCCATTGCAGACAACGAAGCACACTTGAGTTTTGAGACAATTGAAGAATGAAACAGTTTTACCTCTATAGCAAGGAGGAACATGGAGCACAATGGATCCGTTTAAATTTGAAATTTTAATCCCTTTCTTAACTGTAGTTACTTCGGTTTTATTTGGGGTACCCTTTTCATTTGATCTTGCAGCTCCCCTTTTGCTATGCCTCTCAGGTACAAGGCTGGCAACGTTGATTGTGGTTGAGCGCCAGCTGCCCACATCACATCCCCGTGTGCCTTAACGGCACATTTGCACGTTACAAGGGGCGTGCTTTGTGTGAGTGTTAAAAAAAAAAAAAAAACTCTGTCTCTCATTCTATCCACAAATCATCACAAACAATCCGGCGAAACAAAATAAGGTATAGATACTAGATAGGCCACATAGTAGAAGATGCAAGGTTGGCCACATTTGTGTGGTTAAGTGCCGTGTGTGTGTGTGTGTGTGTGTGTGTGTGTGTGTGTGTGTGTGTGTGTGTGTGTGTGTGTGNNNGAGAGAGAGAGAGAGAGAGAGAGAGAGAGAGAGAGAGAGAGAGAGAGAGAGAGAGAGAGAGAGAGAGAGAGAGTAGGGAATGACTCACCTCCTGAGCATTTTGTTGAATGGCTTCCACAGGCTTTCGGTTCATTTGGGACAAGAATCCATGCAACACAAAGGATACAACCTGTGCACAAGGCCAGAACAGAGACACTTTCCATTAGCTGAGAGAGAAACGGGGGCAGGGGGGAGGACAACGAAATAATAATAATTAGACCGTATGTCATACAGCACTTACGTTTCTTTTTTTGCTTTTTTTTTTTAAGTACCGAATTGTTTTCCACACCGATGGCTTAATGAAAAATACACAAAGGGCATTTCACTGATTTCAGTATTTTCTGTCCGAACCGTCGTAATACATGCGTTTATTGACAAAGTTCACTCTGCTCCACCGGTGGACCAGTGGTTGAAAAGAAGTTCAAAAAAGTTCAAAAAAGTTCAAAAAAGTTCAAAGAAGTTCAAAAAAGTTCAAAAAAGTTCAAAAAAGTTCAAAGAAGTTCAAAGAAGTTCAAAGAAGTTCAAAAAAGTTCAAAAAAGTTCAAAAAAGTTCAAAGTTGACAGCAGAAATCTGTGTCGGACTCCCCCTTTCACTCTGCTCCACCCCCAGCTTTAATGTTGAAGTGATGAGCATTGAGCACCATGCTGACTACTTAGTACATATTTTCAGTGTATGGTTTATTTAACTTTATTTAAGTTTATTTAAGTTTATTTAGCTTTTAGTAAAGTTTATTTTGAGCTTTCGCCCTCAGAAAGACACAGACCGACGCTAGTGTGAAATGAAGTGAACAACTGCGGGGCAAACAGTTTCAGCATAACCGTAGAGGAGATCGATACACCCATCAGAGCACTCCATGACGCATGCAAGATAGCGAGCCAGGGTGAAGACAAAACCAAGAAACAGGAATTCATCCATAACAGTACAGGCATCTGAGAGAGAGAGAGAGAGAGAGAGAGAGAGAGAGAGAGAGAGAGAGAGAGAGAGAGAGAGAGAGAGAGAGAGAGAGAGAGAGAGAGAGCATTCACGCGGAGGCGGATGCAAAAGCAAAAGTGATGCAACGAGTCGAACACAGCACACATCCGCTGCACAAATTGGAGTCTCAAAGAATTAAAATTCCGTCACCAAAAACTCGGCAGCAATTAAAATTTCATCACCGATAACTCGGATGCTTAGACAAGCCGCGACAGTACAAACATTAGACACAGAAAGTGCACCAAAACATTCAAAACCGGTGACGACAATTTGTGACAGTTCATCACATCACACATCACACATTGGCGTACAAGCAAAAATCAGATACGGCCATTACAAACAGATGTTTGTCCACCGAAAGTTCAGAGAAAACAGACGGAGATCTTCAGAAGCGCAAGCGAGTGAATCCATCGACCGGCAATTCACACGGCCACATCCCTCTACATGTTTCGGCTACCCGAGCAGCAGCCTTGTTAGGACGAACACTCCAGAACTCGTCAAACCAAAGCTATTTTCAAAAGCAAGGAGAGAAAAGAAAAGAAAAAGAAAAAGAAAAAGAAAAAGAAAAATAAAAAGAAAAAGAAAAAAAGAAAAAGAGAAGAGAAAAGGAGAAGAGAAAAAGAGGAAGAAAAACAAAAAAGGAAGAAAAAGTCGAAGGATGAATCAAAACTGGTGGAATTGGAACTTAAACCACTAGTACCTCGCCCAGTGTTGGGAAATTAGGGAAAACTGGCAGTTTTCCCAAACTCCTGAAAATTCGGAGGCCGGGCCCGACGACGGCTGCCATTGATAAATCTGATCGGCGGCGGTCGTTTCGTTTCGGCCATCCGAAAAGGTCGGAGGCCCACCCGAGGCCCGCTATTTTCCCACGCGGCAAAGGTACTAGTGGTTAAAAAAAAAA